TGGGTGAAGGGAGATGTAAGACAGGGCAAGATATGACAAAATAATAATTTATAAATTATCAAGGGCTCATGAGGGAGGGGGAGTGTGGAGGCAGGGGTAAAAAATGAGGACCTGTTGCCAGGGGCTTAAATGGAGAGCAAATGCTTTGAGAAAGATGAGGGCAATGAATATACAAATGTGCTTTACACAATTGATGTCTGTATGGATTGTGATAAGAGTTGTATGAGCCCCTAATAAAACGATTAAAAAGAAAAAAAATGAATAGCCCTCTGAGAGGGTGGTCTAAAGATCTGAACAGAAGATTCACAAAAGATGACACACTCACACAGGTAATAAACACATGAGGAAAGTGCTCCTGGTCAATAGCCATATGGGAAATGTAAGTCAAAACAACCATGAAATGCCACCTAACACCCATAATTACAACCCAATTATCTTATTTGGGATTACTATGAGTGTTAAATAATACCTCACCACCTCAAATAAAAAAGACCCCAACTCACTGCCACACAGTCCATGAGTACTCATAGTGATCTATAAGGACGGGGTAGAGCTGCCTCTGTGAGTTTCCAAGCCTGTGTATGGGAGTAGAAAGCCTCATCTTTCCTCGGCAAAGAAGCTGATGGTTTCAAACTGCTGACCTTGGGGTTGGAAGTCAGCATGCAATGCACTAAAGATTGATGTATGGTAACAATGAGAGAATAAAAAGGTAAAAATAAAACATGATATACATTCATTGCCATCTAAACATACTCTAATATTTCTCTCAACTAGCTTGTAGGAGGAAACGCTTTTTCCTCCGTATTGGAATTTCAGTAAAAAAATGAAAGAATAGGTTTATCTGAGGTTTATAAAGCATTTAAAATGCTAACGATTTAGTTAGTCTATCTTTAATAGACTGTACTATATTTAACAGACAAAAGACAGAGAACTTAAATTTGAATAGTAGATAAACTAGTAATAAAAATATTGTGCTATTCTGGGCACTTTAGAGAAAAAAATCCACAGAAACTCATGTATAAGAGAGTTTTATATAAAGGTTAAGTGTGCATCAAGAAAACATCCCAACCCAGTGCTCCCCAAGCCCACAAGTCCAATATTAACCCATTAACCCATATGTCCAACATCAACCCCCAAAGTTCTCCTCCATCTCACAAAACAGATGTAATGATGCCGACTGCAGGAGGAAAGCTGAGCCAGTGAACATGTAACAGCGCTGGCAGGGGTCTCCACAAGGCTGCTCCAGCACCCAGGGCTGCATCGGGGTAGGTCCATGTGGCTTCTCCTCAGAGATGTCTTGCAGGAAGTGAGCCTTGCCAGCTAAAGCAGGGAACTGGCTAAGGCAGCTACACCCTGGTCCGACCATCACAAAGCGAGAGACCTGAGAACTAGAAAGGCGAGGCTTACGGAGCCACTTATCCCTCAATTAACCCCACATATGTTTATCGGCCAGGTTGGCACAATAAACTACCTCAAATATGTTCCAGTTGTTGCATAGAACATACTTATGCTAAATGTTAAATCATTGTTTATATTATATCATTCAAGTTTAACTGGGCATATTCCATTGTTATTTTCTAAATCTGACAACCCTGTACTGGATAAACACGGAATAAAACTTCTAGGGTATTTAAGATTTTCTGTAAAGAGAAGACAGCAAACTTTCTCCACTAAATTGTCCTTGCTTCTTCTGGATAAGAAAATCACGAAACACTTTGTGTTGTGACAAGTTCTACTTACTAAAAGGGGGGAAAAAAGACCCCCAAACCTATGATATTAGTCTGGCAAGTTAAATAGAAAAAAAAAGGTTAACATTGAAATGGCTGTTTTTACATATATTTATGCATTTTTATTTTTAATTGATGAATATCACACGGATAATTTTCATTCTAGAACCAATCATTTTCTAGAATAATTTTCATTTTAGAACCAAATAAAAGCAAAAATATCAAGAAATATTTTGATCGCATATTTTTAAAATTGGCTTCTGCTTTTTTTTAGGGGGATGGAAGTCACTTGCATTAAATTTTTGTTTTTATTTGCTTTTTAAAACTAACACCAGAGCTTCCTCTGATAGATCTGGGGCAATTGACTGTTGTTCTTCTGGTTTGCACTAGGATGCGAAAGAATAAGAGGTTCACGCTCTTGTTGTCTGTCTTTGTGGCAGGTCCAGATTGAATGAGGGATTACATAGCAAAGAAAAAAAAAAAACTAACACTAGCTTTGCAGTAGATCAAGTTTCCTCATATTTAGAGTTAACTAATTCTTGTCTTATATGAAAATTTATTTTGTACAGTTAATATTTCTAAATTTCCTAAATACAAAATTTATTTTGCATAGTTAATTTATTTTGTATAGTTAAATTATTTTGTATAGTTAATTTTTCTGCTAACCTCTAGAATGGAAACTACTTATTTGAATTTTAAGAAGTTCTCTGTTGACCTGTAAGTATGAAGGAGTAAATAAAGATTTTTGGATTGCACTTTTACTTTGTGGTCTTAAAGACTTACATTTAAGCCCTGAGGATCAATTTCACTCTGTCTGATAAGGTTTTCATGAGTCCCAGTCAACTGGACAGCAGTGTATGCTTTTCACTAAAATCCAAACCTGAATGAATTAACCTTTAACTTTATTATCCAAGAGCTTTATAGATTCCATTCTTTTAAAAGCTGGATGTAGTTATATACTAAGTCAAAGGAATACTTCATTTTAACCAATGTCAAGTTTCCTCTTCCATAATGAATATTCTTTCTGTCAGGAATCATATAACAAGGAAGTCAGAAATCCCAGCAAATATGACAGAAAGAAATTTCTTATTATACTAGTTGAAGATTTATTTTAAAAATGTTCCTCTCTCATTTTTAAAACACTCTACAGTGTAATGTAGTACTTGAAGGTATTTCGGCTTAGAAAATACATCTTCTATTAATCTGAGAATATCATAAACCTTCATCAAACTAATGCATTTTGAAATATCATTCTTCTTGTGGTACTGATTTCCTCAGAAAAGCAATAATTAATTTATAGAGGAAATACCTAGAAATATCCAAGGTGCTTACGTTAGACTAATTCATAAGATATTTTAAAAATAAATGAAATCAATTGTCAGCAAAATTTGAGGACACTTTGTAGATGTTGGAAGATTTTACTGAACCTAACCACCAGCAGTTGGCTTGAAAGAATATGAAAGAAAGTGGGCTAACATTCAGGTTTTAAAAGCTTTTCGAGTTCAATTTGTTTTGGAAGATAAGTGCAGGAATAAGAAATAAAATTGGTTTGACAGGAAGGTTCCTGAATCAGCACATTGGATCAGTCAATATATTGTTCTCTAAAAAATGTTAAACTATAAAAAAATATACATTAGTGTTTCCTATCATATATTTTTAGTATTTACATTTTATTGAGTATCTACTAGATGCCAAACACTACACATACTTAAGTATTATATTCTTAAAAATGTAATTTAAGGGATGTACATATATTTTCACATACATTAGTTAATATTTTGCAAAATCATAGCATTGATGGAATTGGAATAAGATTCCCTGTAGATGTGGCTCAGTCACTTGTGTGTCAACTGTCTGGGAAATCATTTCTGCTGGATCTGGATCCTGAATTGGGTTCACTAGCCTCCTGTCATATTGTCTGCTGATCCCAGGAGCCATCAGTGGACCGGAAATGTGAATTAATTCAATGCCACACACAAGCCTGCACTCTTCTGGGGTCATCTTTCTTCAGCCTCCTTTTATAGCCTGGCCACCAAAGGCAGAATTGTGTGAGCCATTTTTAAAATATAAATCTCTTTCTATATACATGCTTACATTGTCACTCCTGTGTTACTTCTCTAGAGAATTCATCGTAACACATTTTGTATTGAGAGGGTTCTAGAGAAGAAAATCATAAACATGAGTTTTCTAAATTGGTTTTCAAGTCTGATTAGGCACTAAAAATGGGCCTCTACTTCTGTTAATACAGATAGCACTGTCATTGTTCTTAAAGAGGGTGCTGTTAACACATAATGTAACGTGGCAAAGTTAATACAGAAATAGCACCACTACTAGAAGAAGAATTGGCAGGAAGCGAGGTTCTGGGTGATCGTGTGTTTGATTGCTTCCTGAAATTTTGTCAGGATGAGTCGTTTCAGAAGGCTAGTTGTTTGGTTTGCTGAAGAAAGAATTACAAGAAGTCTTACAATAAGTCATGTTGAAGTCTCAGACCTACTTTAGTATTCTATAGAAGAAGGCATCCAAAGGCTTAGGAAACTTCACATGTTAGTGTGGATTTGTGAGGATGAACCCAAAGACCCACCCATGCACTTTTCCAAGAACACATCATTTAACAAAACAGTAGGAAACAAATTTGTGAAGGAAGCCTTTACATGTCTAAATACTCCTGTGATTCCTATTTTGGGTCAGTGAGGTGTAACAGTAGGGTTTGCCCTGAATGAATTAAGACACTTGCCTGTGATGAGTCTGATTGGGTTCCATAGGGAGAGAGGTCAAATAACAGCACTCAGCAGAGACAAAGTGGGCATGGTTACCATAACGGACAGCAGTAGTAATTAGAACAGGCTGAATTATATGGACCGGTGGAGCTGACTACTTAAGCAGCTCTTCTTAAGAGTTAAGTAGATGGAAAACTTACTGAATATTTGCTTGGCCTATACAAGCAGAATAATTCTAGATCAGGTGAAAGACTGTGTAATTTGAGTCCCAGAATTGAGAGTTATTATCCATCAATCAATTAACAGACTTAACCTAATTGGTAGAACCACAACCCCTTGAAGAGGAGGCCAGGTCCTTGAGGAAAGATCCCACTATAACACCAAAGGCCTACACTGTGTTTCTCCAAGCTTTCCTCAAAAGGGTCAATGGCTTTTCACAGGGGTGACTATCGACAACGGCAAAGGAAATAATCAGGTTTTTCAGGAATTACTCGACACTGGATTTGAATTTACTTCACTTGGGAAAGGATACGTGGCAAGGCCAGTGGTGAAAATCACAGAAAGGCCCAAGATCTGGCCATGATGGATGGAGGGAAAGAGAAGTCTATTCTTAGGGGTCCAAGAGCAAGTCTGCAAAACTAAGGGGAGGTGAGAGCTGCCAATCACAAAGAAGGGAAACGTAGCTTACAGACTTCCTAATCATGATTCGGAGTTGTACTTTTTTACTTTCTTTTTTTTCTTTTTTAAATCAATTTATTGGGGCTCATACAATTCATCACAATACATAGATCAATTGTATAAAACACATCTATACATTTGTTGCCCTCATTATTCCCAAAATTCGCTTGCCTCTTGGGTTCCCAGAATCAGCTCATTTTCCTTTTTCCCCCCTCCCCTTCCCTTCCTCCTCCCTTCTCCCCCATGCACCCTTAATAATTCATAAATTATTATTGTATCATATTACACTGTCCGGCGTCTCCCTTCACCCACCCCCCTGCTGCTCGTCCCCCAGAGAGTAGGTTATACATAGCTCCCTGTGATCCATTCCCCCTTTCTTCATCCCCTTTCCCTCCTGGTATCGTCACTGTCACCCCTGGTCCTGAGAGGTTCATCTGTCCTAGATTCCCTGCATTTCTGATTCCCATCTGTACCGCTGTGTATCATCTGGTCTAACCAGGTCTGCAAGGCAATATTGGGGTCCTGGTAGTTGGGGGGAGGAAGCATTTAAGAACCAGAGGAAGGTTGTGGGTTTCATTATTGCTATACTGTACCCAAAGTGACTCATCTCCCCACTACCCCTCTGGAAGGTAGGTCCAATTGTCTAGAGATGGGCATTGGGTCTCCATCACGCGCCACCCTCATTGACAAGGATATGACTTTTCTCCCCGCCTTTGGTATTTAAAGCCTGGTCCCTTTGACCCTTCATGATCACACATGTTGGTGTGCTGCTTCCATGTGGGCTTTGTTGCTTCTGGGCTAGATGGCCGTTTGTTTACTTTCAAGCCTTTAAGTCCCCAGACGCTATAGGTCTCGATAGCCGGGCACCATCAGCCTTCTTCACTACACTTACTTATGCACACATTCGTCTTCAGCGTTTATGTGTGGAAGGTGGTCACACAATGATGGTTCTTGTTCTTTGGTGTCTGCTGCCTGTTCCCTTCAACACTTCGTGTTCGCACAGACTCGTGTGCTTCTTCTCTGTGGACTTTGTTGTTTCTTAATAAAAAAACAATTATAAGAACATTTTGTGAGCTCTGTGAGATGCTTCTGTAAATGTATAAACCCAAGTGGAAGTGAAGAATGCTGAAGGGAGGGATAATACCTTATCACAGATGGATTGGTACCTGCGAGAATATGAAAATCTAGAATATATTTGACACTTGCCTTAAGAATTTGTTCTGCCAGGCCTCTTACACCCTCCTTGCCACTGATTTTGGATCACTTGCTGTTCCCTTGTCCCTGAGTTGGTCAACACCACCTCCTTTCCCCAACCTCCCCCTCCCCAATGTCCACACGGAAACATGGGTCCCGTTGTTTTCTCCTCCAGACTATTCATCCAGCCTATCTTATCTAGAGAGACCTGCAGAGATAATAATATACACAAAAAAACAAGACATAGCTAAACAAAGTGACAAAGGAAAACAAAACAACAATAGCAACAAAAAAACCAATGAAAAAAAGTAATTAAGTAAAAAAAAGAAGAAAGAAAAACCTGTAAATAGTTCAAGGTCTGTTTGTTGACCTCTAGGAGTGTCCTCCAGTCAAGTTCGATGGGGTGCCATGCCCTGGCCCCAAAGTCTATCCTTAGCACTCCCTCGGCACCTCCCTGCTCTGCTTCCCCCACAGCTCTGCTATACACCCCTTAGTGTTTTGCCTCAGTGTGGTGGGGCCAGACTGGGCCAATCCTGACACTGTGTCTCCATTGTTGTCCCCTGTAGGGCCATGGGTTAGTGAGGTATGTCATGTCTCATAGTGGGATCAGCCACATGGTCCATTCTGTGCATTGGCTGTTCTGAGTGGGGATATCGTCCTCAAGCTTGGTGGACCAGGATGCGCTCCAATGTAACTGAGAGAAATTACTGAAACCCAAATGAAGGCTGAGCATGATAGTGGGACAAGAGGAAAGTAAAAGGAAATAGTGGAAAAAACTAGGAGGCATACGGCGTTTATAGAGGTCTAAATACAGGCATGTACATATGTAAATATATTTATATATGAGGATGGGGAGATCGTTTTACATGCATATATTT